TCTGTGAGACTCTTATCTACCAGAAAACCAGAAGTAGAACTGTAGCGCAAGTGGTAGAGCACTAGGCCTGAACTAAAGAACTCAGGGACTGCACCCAGGCCCCAAATTCAAGCCCCATGACCCTCCCCACAAAACCTCCAGAAAAGTAGAAGACATAAATAAATAGGCATATCAAAGATATAAGGATGTTGCTAATTCCATAAAATTCTCTGTGAGCATCCATTTCTTCACCAGGAAGTTGAGAGGTTGAGTCATTATTGCTGAAATAGTTGAAAACCTGGACTGTTTCTATGTCCTAGTATAGGTTTACAGGACATAAGTGGGAAGAGTTTGATATTAATGAATAAAGGAGAGAGTTTAATATTCTTGAAGAGAGTAGTGTGAGATAAGAGTGAATATACAGATGCAAGAGTAGAGTCAGATTATGATTATGTTTAAATGTCAAGATGAAGGATTTGGGGTCTCCTCTTTGGGGCCCTTTTCTGAATGTAGTCTCCCTACTTTTTCAGCTTTCTTTTACTTTCAAATAAACTTGCTGTTTCTGTTTTTAAAAATATATGAGGGGTTGAACTTGCTTTATAATCAATGGGAAGCTACTGAAGATTTTAGATTATGAGAGTAGCCAAACAAAGTGATAGAACCAAGCACTGGTTGCTCACACCTGTAATCTACTCAAGAGGCTGAGATATGAAGATTGTGGTTCCAAGTCAGCCTGCATGGGAAACCAACTAACCAGCTAAAACCAGTAGTAGAGCTGTGGCTTAAGTGGTAGAGCATCAGCCTTGAGCGAAAAAAGCTAAGGGACAGCAAGCAGGCCCTGAGATCAAACCTCGGTATGGGTATACACAAAAAAACAAAGTGATAGCTAGAGAAACCAGTCTGATAGTGAGATATGAGTGGTAATGGGGCTGAGAGAATACTCAGGATCTTGGCTGCGTATAAAGAAATTAAAGAAATGACAGTGGGAATGGAAAAGGGAAAGATGATGACCATAGATTGTCTCTAATTTAGAAATCCCTTTCTGATTCTAAGGGAAGATGGAAGAATCCATTGTCTGGCTATGTCTCTCTCAGAGTTAATAGACACAGAATAGGACTAATGTACTATATTGACTCAGCCTTGCTTCAAAGCTCAATGAACTGTAAGGAAAACAGCCTTTCAGTACACTTAAAAGGCTTCCAGGAAACTCTTCCAACATGGCAAGATTCTGAGTATAGTCCATCTTCTCACTTGTCACCCAAAAGCCTATGCAAACTAATTATAATCTCAATAAATAAGACAGTGGAAAGCTACATGTTAGCCCAACAGTTCATTGAAAAGGTTTGTTATGGCATTATGGGATGAAATTGTATCCAGTGAAGAAAGCTGAACTCATGGGCTGACCTGTGTCATTGCAGTCTGACATGATGGTAGACTAAGGCCTTTATCTGCAAACAACAGAGAAGTTTTCAAGAGGAAGATTCTTAGGGGCTAGACTAGAAAATCAAAGCAATGTGGATACAACCATATTAAATGATGGTTATCAAAATGATCTCCAAGAAATGAAAACAAGAGGTTTTTTATTGTACTGTTGTGCAGTTATTTCTTTTTTTCTTTCTTTCCTTTGGTCACTGCTTTTGATTTCTGTACCATTTGTCTTGTATGTAAGATAAACTCTGATTTAGGGAAGGGAAAGGGAAGCATAGAATAGTGGGACAAAGGGTGAACCAATTCAGTAGTAATGAACTTTACAACTTGGTGGGAGGGGGAGTCTCAGGTTGGGGGGAGTAGAAGAAAACGAGGGAGGGATAACACTGTTCAAGAAGAAATGTACTGCCAGGTGCTGATGGCTCACACCTGTAATCCTAGCTGTTCAGGAGGCTGAGATCTGAGGATCGCCTTTCAAAGCCAGCTCAGGCGGGAAAGTCTGTGAGACTAATCTCCAATAAACCATTAGAAAACTAGAAGTGTTGCTGTGGCTCAAGTGGTAGAACACCAGCCTTGAGCTGAAGAGCTCAGGGACAGTACCCAGGCCCAGAGTTCAAGCCCCACGACTGACAAAAAAAAGAAAGGAAAAAAGAAATGTACTCATTACCTGAGTTAATGTAACTGTAACCTCTATAGTCACTTTTACAATAAAATTTAAATTTAAAAAATCATTTAATCAGACCCAGAGAATCTTTTCTGAAACTCTGATATCAAGAGTGCAATAATTTGAGCCTTACATGCCACCTTTTTATAAGCTGAGAATACTATCTCTCCAATATCAGATTCACAAAAGTCAATGATTTCCGCTTTATTTGTTATACCCCAAGCATATGGTATACAATATTTGACGTAGATTTAATAAATGATTGCATAAATCTTCTAGTAGTTCTTCTAGATTAGAATCTTCTAGTAATTCTTTTAGATCTTAACCTAAGGAATGAAGTTCTAGGTTTTTTTTCAGTCCAGTAAAGTTGCCTTTTTTTTCTTCTTTTTTTTTTTCTGGTCAGTCATAGGGCTTGGGCGCTGTCCCTGCGCTCTTCAGCTCAAAGCTAGCGCTCTAGCACTTGAGCTGCAGCGCCACTTCTGGTTTTCTAGTGATTTACTGGAGATAAGAGTCTCACGGACTTTCCTGCCTGGGCTGGCTTTGAACCATGATCCTCAGATTTCAGCCTCCTGAGTAGCTAGGATTCCAGGTGTGAGCCACCGGTACCCAGCTAAAGTTGCCTTTTAAGAAGCCCTTTATTACTCCATTGCAACCCTATCCAGACCTTTAGTTCTGGCCAGGTATGTTCCTACCAAATTCTGTGTAAGGAATCTACTTCTACTTGGGATTTAATTGTGCTTCTCTCTTCTCACCATTATGTGAAACTACAGTGCCATGGAATATGGTCTGAATGGAAATCTGGTTCTGCTCCCACCCTCATATCTTGTATTCCTTCCCATTGGAACTGTTCCAAATATTTATCTTATTCCAGCCGTCCTAAAGCCAACATTTGGACTTGATTTAACCACCTGGAATAAAAGAATGATTCTTACCTCTTAAAGACCTTCCTTGAGTACACGTTTCATAGCAGAGTTATCCTGCTGTATGAGAAACAGGAAAAGCTAATAGATCAATAGAGAATGAGATATTCATTATTAAAAATAGCAACATTGCTGGGCACCAGTGACTCACAACTATAACCCTAGCTACTCAGGAGGTTGAGATCTGAGGATCATGGTTCAATGAAGCCAGCCTGGGCAGGAAAGTCTTTATGAGACTCTTACCTCCAATAAAGAAAGAAAGCTAGAAGTGGAGGTGTGACAAAGTGCCAACTTTGACTGGAAAGCTAAGGGGCAGTGCTCAGGCCCTTAGTTGAAGCCCAAGTGCCAGCAAAACAAAAAACAGCGTCATATATATGAGATGTTTGCTTCAAATGCTTTAAAATCAATTTTTTGAACATGCCCATTCCTGTGGATAATTATCCCTCATATTTCCTCTTACTTGTATTAGAGGACTGGATCAACGCATAAACAAAGCTGATCTCTTGGAACATATTTCATATAGGACATTCACAGAGAATAATAGGTTCTATACAGAGATGAATTTTGTCCACTTAACTAAAGGCCTTGGCCTGTAGTAGGCAATTAGTATATGCTGGTGACATCTTTAGGCTCCTTGTGTATTAAAGATACCCATCACCCCCTACAAGGAAAGTGAGATGAGAAATCACAGAACTGAGAAATAAGTAACTGTTCTGTAATTCCATCTCAAAGCTTCTGCCATCCTAAACCCATTCACCAACCAGCTATTCTAATGTGAGAAGTGAGGATCAATCTAAATATGTTTTTTCTCAACTTCTTGAGTTGGGGATGTGGACAGAGCTAAGAGGAAATATGGAGAGTGGATTAAAGCTGTTCAGAAAGCTTATAGCTAATTATCCCCTTCTATTTCACCCTGCCTCCATAGACCTCTTTTTAAAGACCTGGTGAAATGATCCTGCACTTGAATCTTGCATATTTCACCCAGCTCCCCAAAAGAAGATTTTTTTCCATTTTCCTTTGAGTTCATAATTTGGAAGTCTCAATTACCAGCTGTATCCATTTTAATAATTCTATTAACTCCCAACCCATTTTTGGTCCAAGCCTTTCTTCTTTTTTTCCTATCTCTTCAAAGGCACAAATGAATTGGCACCGTTCTTTAAGAGCGTAGTCTCTAAAGGGAACCTGCCTGATTCTGATCCCTGCTTTTCCACTTCCTCACTGTGATTGGGCACACATTCTTTAATTTCTCCAAATCTGTTTAGTTTACTGTGAAATGGTGGTAACAATTGGACCTCTGTATGCCAAGCTCTTAGCATATACAGTGTATCGTAAGGGTGTAATCAGTACTGATTGTTATTATGTGAGAGGGAGATAATGTACCATTGTTACTCCAACCTTGTGAAGTAGAACTCTTTGTGTATCCTATAAATTTTGCTATCAAATTTTGACTATGATGTGTATATCCTTTGGTGGAAATCAACACCAAAACCTCTGTGTTTGAGATGCCTATTCTACTATCCAACTGTGGTCTCCATATTTGTAGGCACTTAAATGCAGTTTTTTGACAATAATCCATCTATGATATTTAGAATGTAGAGCTTATCCTCCCCACCCACTTTTTTGATCCATTCCTGCTACCTAGATGTGTGTCAGCATGAATAACTTCTGCTAGCCATTAGTTTTCTTTTTTCTGGAGATCTTTTTAACCAAGAAGCCTCTCAGAGATGATTTAGTCATGCCTCATGTCTTCTATTTCACAGATACGTCATCAGTGACCTAGAGAGAAGTAGATCCATATCCATGCTTAGGGTCAAGAAGTCATCCTAAAGACAGAATTCTATTAATTCTCAACCCACTTTATCCCAAGCCCTTTTCTTCTTTTTCTCTGTTTCCTAGAGGAATTAGTGGGACTCTGTTTAAAGGTTCTCTGAATACTGGAAAGTTAATTTATCTTCTTTCGACTTCACAAGGAAATTAACCAATTGTATTTTTTCTGCTTGTATCTACAGCTCTGGGTGAACCAAGAGGATGGGGTGGAAGAAGGGCCCAGTGATGTGCAGAATGGGCATCTGGACCCCAACTCAGACTGCCTCTGTCTGGGCCGGCCACTACAGAACCGGGACCAGATGCGGGCCAATGTCATCAATGAAATCATGAGCACTGAGCGTCACTACATCAAGCACCTCAAGGACATCTGTGAGGTAGCCATGGTGGTACAAGTGGTGGGATAGAGGGTATTTTCATGAAAATCTGACAATCCTCATGGGCCTGCCTATGCTAGTCCCAAGATACTGGAAAGATAATTTGTTAGTGGAGTCTTTGGATCATTAGTAGGAAAATTGCCCATAAGAAAAGGTCTTTGTGAAAGGAAAGTATACACGTTAGGCACTACTGGATGAATAGGGAAGACTGAAGCATTAAGAATGTGCAGGTTCTGTACTAGGTGATAAGTTCCATTGGGTTTAATCAACCAGTAAGATGGAGGTGTTAAAGGAGTAGTTAATAGGTCTGAGAAGTCATTGTTTAAGAAGGCAGAGATGGATAATGGATTTTAAACCATTGCTATGTTGAAGAGAATTGGGGTATTGGGGTGTGTTGGGAATCAGGTAGGATCCTTAAGTTTAATGAGGACAGGAGTATGGTGTCAAGCAATAGTAGGTGTGGAAGTGTCCCAGATAAGAGGATTAACAAGATCTCGAGGAGGACGAGGGGTCCTTTTGGGGGACCATGATCATCTCACAGTGGTATGCCAATATTATATTAAGCGGACCCATAGTCAAAGGAAGGGGCTATTTCTCCCAGGTGGACCTAACAAAGACAAGGGCTTTTTTCTGAAGCTGTTTGAACTCAATGGAATAAAATTGACAAAGAGTATTTTACTGAGCAGTAAGAGAAAAACAAATGAAAAATGGAAAAAAGAACATTTTAAAGGATAGAAACACATACACACCACACACACACACACACACACACACACACGTTTTTTTGTTTGACCCAGGGAATTGTTTTTGAATCTTTTTGTCTCTTCCTTTCCAGAGAACAGATCAGGTTCTACTTTCTGTCCCCCAATATGGGGTTTATTTTGCAATCAGTAGTGATGATGGGTAAATACTGTATTGGAGAGGGGAGACAGACATTTCATCATTGCTGAAAGTTCTATTGGACAACATTACTCTAAAGAAACAAAAACTTCAAAATATGGTAGAGCTACAATAATGAAACATTGATAAAGTCAGATCTAAATGTTATTTAGAATTCATTTGCATGACATGTCTTAAACACTAGGGCTTTTGAGAAGATTTTTGAGAACATTAGAGATTTTGAGAAGACATGGGACTTTTCCCCCTTCTTTAATGATATCTCCCTCAAGAAAGTCTTGTTGGAGCTGTTTTTATTTATACTCTCTGGAAAATACCTTTTCTCACTCATAGACATGAAAACAATCAAAACATAGCATTAGAGAATATTTTAAAGGGGCTGGGAATGTGGCTTAGTGGTAGAGTGCTTGCCTTACATGCATGAGGCCCTGGGTTTGATTCCTCAGTACCGCATAAGCAGAAAAAGCCAGAAGTGGCGTTATAGCTCAAGTGGTAGAGTGCTTGCCTTGAGCTGAAGAGCTGCGGGACAGTGCCCAGGCCCAGAGTTCAGGCCCCACAACTGACAAAAAAAGAAAGAGAATATTTTAAAATAGAAACAAAATCAACCAATGCACCAGTGGCTTACACCTATAATCCCAGTTTCACAGGAGACTGAGATCTGAGGATCCCAGTTTGAAGCCAGCCCACCTCCCACGGCAGAAAGCCCACAAGACATTTATCTCCAACTAAGCATCAGAAAGCCAGAAGTACAACTGATGTTCAAGTGGTTGCGTGCCAGCTCTGAGTAAAAAAATTCCTAAGAGACAATGCCCAGGCCCTGAGTTTAAGCTCCAGTACTGGCACAAAAAAAATATCATCAAATATATTAATACCATCCACCAAATACAATAGAATTGTTTGTGCTTTTGCGTAACTTTAAATCTGTTCTTTCTGTACACATGCATATATGACAAATACATACATATATGACACATGTATATACATAATTTAAAAAGTTATAATCATAGTGATATATTTACTATTTATATTCTGCTTTTAACATTACATCATATATCCTTCCATGTTTCTACATAGTTTTATCATCATTTTAATGGCTCTGTATTATTCTGTTAAGCTAAATGTAACAATATATTTATCATCTAACATTATCTTTAAAAACACTCTAGAGTCCCACTATCTTATAGGCAATCACATTTTTCCTAATATGTGTATAAGTAAGTCACAACAGAGATAACAGAAGGAAAGTAATTTTCTTGACAATAGCAATGAGGGACACCTAGGGAATTGGGAAGCTACCCTAGCATCATTGTTCTCTATTCTCTTTTCCAGCGGCCATGTTCTTCCTTTTCATTTCTGTCATATTCCATACAAATGTTAAGCTCTAGCATCATTGCCATATTTGGGGGATTTTATGACATTTAGGATTTATGATGTTTCTTCCTAAACCTTTCCATTTGGGAGCATTGAACAAAACTGTTACTTCCTGAACTGCTTTCCCAGAGGATAAGTGAGTTATGTAGGCTGGGCTTTTCTGTCTCCCATTGTGATCACTCACCAATACCTACTGCATACCCACAAGTTACATGCTAAATGTGACATAATTACCAAGTATTGCTGGCCCTACCATACAAAGAAAAAATGGGAGCATGGGTGGGGAGCCCTGTGCCCCCTGCTTAGTGTCGAGATGATACACTTGTTGCTGTTCTTGTCCCTTTTTAGCTAAGATACTTTGAAAGGTAGTAGATAAGAGGCAGAGGCAAATGAAGGCACCCCCATCTAGAGAAAGATGAGGTCCTAAGAGAAACATATTAGACAGGGCATAGCCTATAGGAGTTAGGTGTCTTTCTAGAACTGCTTGTCAAGAAGCAGAATTTGGGGAGCTGCTTTAATAAAAGCAGCAGAGCCAAAAGTATTGTGAGAATTAGTGGGGTACTAGTAGTTTAAGCCTATAATCCTTGCTACTTAGGAGGCTGAGATCTTGAGGATCACAGTTTGAAGCCAGCCTGGGCAGGAAAGTCCTCCTTTTATTTCTAACCACCAAAAAAGCTAGAAGTAGAGCTCAAGTGGTCAAGTGAGAAAAAAAAAACCCTCAGGGACAGAGCCTAAGTCCTGAGTTAAAGCCACAGGACCAGCAAAAATTAAAAAAAAGTTATGAGAATTAGAGGGCATCTTCTTTCTGGTAAGCATTATATATGATAGAATTCAGAAAATCAGCTACTCAGGAAGCTGAGATCTGAGATTTGAAGTCAACCCCACGAGACACTTCTCTTCAATTAACTACCAAAAAGATGAAGATAGAACTTTGGCTTAAGTTGTAGAGGTCAAGTCTTGAGCTAACAATGTTAACGGACAGTGCCCAGGCCCTGAGTTCAAGCCCCAGTATCATCATCATTACACACACACACACACACACACACACACACAAAACGAATGCAGGTAATCAATCAGCCAGGTGTGGTGGCACACACCTGTAATCCTATTATTTGGTAGGAGTATCATGAGTTCAGGCAAGTCTAAGCGAAATGGTTGAGATCTTATCTCAAAACCAAAATAAAAATGAAAGGGCTGGTGGTATACCTAACATAGTAGGGTGCTTACCTAATATGCCAGCCTCTGGGTTCAATCCAAAGTACCACAAAAAAGAGAAGAGAATATAGGAAATCTTAAGCATATCATTCAATAAAGGCGGCAGCCATTAGTCAAATAGATATTGAATCAGCCACAAACTATTAACTTGCAACTGCTGAAACACTAATTACAAAGTGAGAAGATACAGGAAAGTGAGATTTGGGTAGAGAGTGATAAAGTGAATTGGAACCAGGCATGAGATTCTTCCTGAGGTATGCCAAGACAACGTAATTGGTAGCTGTGATAGGGGAGACAAAATGAGCATAGGGATAGGGCTAGATATGGTAAATCATTTAACACAGGTGTTAAGAAATTGCACTTCAATTTTAGATGAATGTAAGTGAGCATAATTCATTGTCACAAGGAACATTATTATGTACTAATGATGTCTATTAAAGCCAGTATTATCCATTAAAAATACATATCAGTAAGTTCAAAATGGAAGACTCAGTTTAAGAACCAGTTTTTATTTTTTATCTTATCAGATCAAAAATTCTTTCTTCCCTTCTCCTTTCATCAGTGACTAGCTGAATTAATTCATCTATCTATTTGTAAATGTCTCAAACACCTATGCTAGTAAAAATATCAGGCTTAGGCACTAATGGGCTTGCTTGATGAGGTCATCTAAATGATAGCCTCTGGCCAGTTACCTTAAGAAAGAGTTTAATTATATCAGTTCCTATTCCTTTATTGAAATTTTTTCTGCTCTTACCCCCATTACCAGGTCATTTCCAATTTTAATTATTTTATTGTTAGGATTGGTCTAACAAGGAATAGAACTTTAGACTGAATGGATCCAGCTAAACCAATAGCTACTAAAATGAAAATGTTGGTGTGCAGCATGCTTAAGGGAAGTACACTTTGACCTTTGAGTTTTTTTGTCATTAAAAAATGATAACAAAGGGCACCCTTTATATTCTTTTATTTTTGGGGGTCAGTCATGGGGCCTGAACTCTGGGCCTGGGCGCTGTCCCTCAGCTCTTCAGCTCAAGGCTAGCGCTCTAACACTTGAGCCACAGCACCACTTCCAGCTTTTTTTTTCTGCTTATGTGGTACTGAGGAATCAAACCTAGGGCCTCATGCATGCCAAGCAAGCACTCTACCACTGAGCCACCTTCCCAGCCCCATCCTTTATATTCTTAAAACTTACTACTAAAATAAATTCCTTTGGTAAATCTTGGGTTTCTCATATGAAAAACGGAAATGAGTTTTGCCTTTCTACTTCATGGAAGTGAAATTGGACAGTCCAGTGGTAAAGCCAGTGGGGGAGAGAGGGGACAACCTCATCATAGGATTTTCCTTTGTCTGCAGGGCTACCTGAAGCAGTGCCGAAAGAGGCGGGACATGTTCAGTGATGAGCAGCTGAAGATAATCTTTGGGAACATTGAAGACATCTACAGATTTCAGATGGGCTTTGTGAGAGACCTGGAGAAACAGTACAACAATGATGATCCCCACCTCAGTGAAATAGGACCCTGCTTCCTAGAGCACGTAAGCATCTTACCCTTTGGTGGGGGAGAGGTTCAAGTAACATTAGGAAGTAATAGAAGGAAAATACGAGCTGTATAGTTGTGTTCAGCTGCATCATTCTGCAGTAGGGGATGAATTTTTCTCAGGCCCTGATTTTGAACACTGATCTCTTAACCAAGTTATAAGGATGTAAGAAGATGCTGTAATTTGGCCTAGGATTCTCTTTTCTTTACCATTTCCCCCTCCTCTGTCTTTCCTCATAGGTAGCTTTCAGTCGGGTTTTTTATTTAGCTTCTCTTTTGTTTTTGTGTTAGGATTAGTTTCCTTAAGAACCAGTGTTCTGGTAGGAACTCAATATGTTCACTGCCTAGGGAATCCAGGAAATAAGAGTGGCCATAAACAGGTGAGGGTAGCTTGTGCCTGCAATCCTAGCTACTGGGGAGATTGAAATCTAAGGATCCTAATTTGAAGCCAGATTTTGAAGGAAAGTCCATGAGACTCTTATCTCTGATAAGTCACCAAAAAACTAGAGGTTGAGATGTGACACAAGTACTAGAGTGCCAGTCTTGACCAAAAAAGCTAAGGTCCTGAGTTCAAGCCCTAGTGACAGCATAAAAGAAAAGAAAAGCGAGGTGAACATCAGCTAGAAAGTAGGACCTTGAAAGACATTCAGGAAAGAATATTAGAGTAAAGGAATTGACAAGTATAAGGCCATAGGGTACAGGAAGAACTCTTAGGAAACAGATCAGTGAGGATTTGAGAATTGTGCCTGAGATGACTGTTAAACTTGAAATAAGTCCCTTAGTTTTCTCAGTGTTCTAGTTCTTTATCCAGAATATGAAGTTTTACTGTAATACCTTGTGATTCTCTAATCTTTTGGGTCTCAGTTGTGGACAATATAGTTATTTTGACAAGCCTTAATATAAAGTATTTGTTTTTAAAGAGGAAATATATGCAAATAATACAAAATCCATTTGACATACAAAAGTATGCAGTTAAAAGTAATCTTTCTTTGATAATTGTCTGCCTTGTTTATGGGAATTTTTTAGACTGATTGATTTGCTAGGAAGACTTAGAGGACTTGACATATACTTTACCCATGACTATGATTTATGATAATGAAATGAGTTAAAACTCAACAAAAGGAAAAGATACATAGGCAAAATCTTTTGAAAACCAGGCATAAGGTTCCAAGAGTCCTTCATTGAAGGAAGCATATATTATGCTGTCTGCCAGGGAAAATTCATTTGACTTCATGTCCCAAGTTTTATGTGGGAGTAGGGATTGATCACATAGGTAATCCTTATGTAACATATAACAAAATATCAGATTCTCAGGTGGAAAGCACATTGTATAGTCTACATTTTCAAATCCTCTTTTTTGTTTTTACTTCTGAATACAGATTAAAGTAGCCATACAACAGACAGACTGAATGATTTGCAGCATAAATATTTCTTCTACCAGATACACTAATTCATTGCTCTTAATGTTTCCCTAAATCCACAGTGCATGGGTATACTATATGACATCTGTGACAAGGATGTCATTTACTTTACATTCCAATATCTTAAAATTCATTTTCATCTAAGACTTCATCAAAAATTAGTTGTGCAAATTTAGAACCAATAGCTCATGCCTGTAATCCTAGCTACTCAGGAGGCTGAGGTCTGAGGATCACAGTTTGAAGCCAGCCAGGGCAGGAAAGTCCATGAGACTTTTATTCCAATAAACTACTTAGAAAAATCCAGAACTGGTGCTGTGGTTCAAATGGTAGAGTGCTAGCCTTGAGCTTCTGAGTTCAAGCCTCAGGACCAGCACAAAAAACAATTTGATTGTGTGCGTGTGTGCATGCGTGTGTGCATGTGTGTGTGTGTGTGTGTGTGTGTACACACACATGTACTGGTACTGGGGCTTGACCCTTAGCTTTTTCATTCAAGGTTGGTGCGTTACCACTTAAGCCAGTGCTCCACATTTGGCTTTTGGTAGTTTATTGGAGAAATGACTTTTCCTGCTGGGCCTGGCTACAAAACACAATTCTCAAGTCTCAGCCTTCTGAATAGCTATGATTACAAACTTGATCCACAGGTACCCAACTCAGAATTGGTCTTGGTCTTTCATACTTCTACTCACATTCTAGTCATGACCATTTAATTAGCCTTTTCCTATAGCTCTGAGCTGTCACAGTTGGAGGTCCAATTATGTCAGAATAGGCCTTTCGCTACCCTAGGCCACACTTCCAAATTTTTCTGGCCTCTAGCCATTACCCAGCTCCAAAGTCACTTGTCCATTTTCAGAAATGTGTGTAGTAAAAACCAATTTCTGGTACCAACTTTCTGCCATAGTCCATTTTGTATTACTGTAGCAGAATACTATAAACTGGATAATTCATTAAGAAAAAATTGTTTCTCACATTTCTAGATGCTAGGAATTATATGAGCATCTAATGAGAGCTTTCTTCCTTTGTTGTAATATGATAGAAGAAAAAACAAACACGGATGTTAATCCTTTATCCATGCAATACTTGGCAAAGAATTTCTCCCATTCTATGAATAGTCTGTTGATTCAGTTAATTGTTTCTTTTGATGTGAAAAACTTTGTAATTTTATGTACTCTTATTTGTTAATCCTTGGAAACTGGAATGCTATCCAGAAAATAATTACCTGTCTCTATCTCTGTTTCCCAAGAGTAGTTTCAAAATTTTGATCTTATATTTAGATCTTTGATCCATTTGTAGTTGATTTTTTAAGGCTTTTGTGTGTAGATAACCAGTTTTCCCAGTACCATCTGTTTAAGAAGCTGTCTTTTTTCCTGTATATGTATTTTGGCTTCTTTGTCAAAGATCAGTTGGCTGTAGCTTTGTGCTTTTATTTCTGAGTTATACTGGGCTTCATGTCTGTTTTTGTACCTGTCCATTCTATTTTTGTTACTGGGGTTCTAGAGTGTAATTTGAAGCCCAGTTCTGAGATACCTCCAGTGCCACTCGTAACTCAGAATTGCTTTTGCTATGCAGAGACTTTTATGCGTGAATTTTAGAGGTTGATTTTCCTGGTTCTAAAGAAATACAGCCTGTATTATGTTAAGATATAATCCTTCTGTTTCTAGGTGCTTCCAAGCTTTTCTTTATAAAAAAAAGTTAAATTTTGCCAGAGGATTTTCCTGCATCTATAAAGATCATCATGTGATTTTTGTCCTTTATTCTATTTATGTGCTGTACCATATTTTTAAATTTGTATATCTTGAACCATTCTTGAATCCCTGGAATGAAACCAACTTCATCATGATGCGTGATCCTTATAATGTATTGTTGAATTTGGTTTGCAAGTGTTTTTATTGAGAATTTTTGTGTCTATGTTCATTAAAGAAATTGTTCTACAATTCTCTTTTCTTGTTATGTCCTTGTCTGGTATTGGAATGAGTGTAATACTAGCTTCATAGTATGATTTTCATAGTGTTCCTTCCCTTTCTATTTCATGAAGAGTTAGAGGAGTGCTGAAATTTGTTCTTTAATGTTCTGGTAGAATGCAGTAGAAAATTTGTCAGGTTTTAGACTTGCCTTTTTGGGCAGCCTATTACAGCTTCAATCTCATTGCTTGTTATAGATCTGTTTAGGTGGTTTATATCCTCTTGGTTCGATTTTGTTAGGTCAAGTGTGTCTAGAAATGTACCCATTTCTGTTCTCCAACCTGTTGTTTCATTGATTATTTTTGTTTTTTTTTCTTGTTTAGTCTCTGATCTATTCATTTCTACCCTAATCCTTAGTATATATTTCCATCTGGTAATTTTGGTTTTGTCCAATTTTTCTTTTTCTGAGCTTGAGGTGAATCATTAGACTATTTGAGATCTCTCTCTCTCTCTCTCTCTCTTTCTCTTCTGAATGGTACTAGAGCTTAAACTCAGGGCCTGAGTACTGTCTCTTAGATTTTTTTGCTCAAGGCTTAATCTCTACAACTTGAGCCACAGCTCTACATCTGGCTTTTTGGTGGTTAACTGAATGTGAGAATCTCATAGACTTTCCTGTCTAGACTGTCTTCGAACGGGTCCTCAGATCTTAGCTTCTTGAGTTGCTAGGATTACAAACATGAATCTCCAGTATTCAGCTTGTTGTTTTTTTAATGTAGGTGCTTCTTTATACTGCCTTTGCTGTATCCCACATGTATCAGTAGGTTGTGGTCTATTTTCTAAAACTTTCTTTGTATCCTCAAATGTGATCTATTATGGAGAAGGTTCCATGGTCTGCTGAGAATAATATGTATTGTGTAGTTGCTGGATGAAATATCCCATAAATGTCTATTAAGTCCATTTGGTCTGTGGTGTCATTTAATGTTTTGTAGTTCATTTTTTCTAAAGTCTTGATTGATTTATTTGTGAGAGTGGAGTATTGAAGCTTCCCACTATCATTGTGTTGGGATCTGTCTGTGCTTTTATGTCCAGTAGGGTTTCTTTAATGTATTTGGGTGCACTGACATTTGACATACAGTTAATAACAATTGTTATGTCCTCTTGATGGAGTTTTCTGTTTAATTATATCCCATAACCTTCATTGTTTCTTCTGACTAATTTTTGTTTAAAGTCTACTATATTAAATTTGAAAATTGCTGTACAAGCTGTTTCGTCGAAAAACAAACTTTACAACTTTGGTGGGGGGGAACATCAGGTGGGGGGCAGGAGGGTATGGGAAGGGATGGGAAGGGGAAACAAAGGAGGAGGCAACAATGCTTGATAAGAAATGTACTCATTATCTTGTCCATGTAATTGTAACCCCTCTGTGCGGTATTTTCACAATAAAAAAATTTTTTTTTGAAAATTGCTATCCTGCCTGCTTTCAGGGTCCATTTGCTTAGTAGATTTTTCCCCACACTTTTATTCTAAGCCAATGTTTGTTTCTTTCAGTAGATGCATTGCTTGTAAGTAACAAATGATTGGGCCTTGCTTTTTAATCCAGCTCACCATTCTGTCCTTTGATTGCAGAATGGAGAACATTAACATTCACTGTTATTATTAAAGTTTGTGGCAATTCCTGC